AGGCGGTAGGAGGGAGAAGGAGGAGGGAGAGGGAGGAGGGGGGAGGGGGGGGGGGGGGAGGATGGAGGAGGGAGGAGGGAGGAGGAGGGTGGAGGGAGGAGGGAGGAGGGAGGAGGGAGGAGGAGGAGAAGGAGGAGGAGGAGGAGGAGAATAAGGAAGAGCGGCAGCAGCAAGGAGGAGGAGAGCAAGGGCTCTCCTAATTACTCATCCCCGCCTCCCCGCACCCGCGGAGCCAGGCGGCTACCCCGAGTTCTCTCGCATCCTCACGCGGGTGCGGTGACCGGCCCGCGGGTCACCGCGCACGGGCGCTATGCAGCTGCTGGCCTTGGGGCGCTGAGGAAATGATATCTCCCACGGCAGGATTGCGTCGTGTCGATGCAGCAGCGACCCCGCTGCGGGCGCTCAAGGTTGAACGCCGCCAGTGGCCCAGCATCGGAGGAAGGAAAGCTACCCGTACCCCTACGCTTCCCTCGTTCTCTCCTTTTGGGGCCTCCTTCGCCACCGCTGGATTCGCATCGAAATCCTGGTCAGAACGCACCCCCGGAGAGGTCCGGGGAGTGGCAGTATCGGTACCGGTTTGTCTCCCCAAGTTGGAGCGGCCTGGCGAGCGGAAGCCCGCCGATCGTTTCAGGCTGAACGATCCGCGCGGCGTCGGGAACCAGCGCCCAGTTCGTCACGACGCGAGTTGGCCGGACTGGCTCACCCCACGCATCGACCTTGGCGCGGCTGAGGTGACAGAATCTTGTACAGAATGTGTGGGGCGTTCGGTACCAAGAAGGTCAGGCTCCTGGCCGTGAGGTGCCACCAGGGCCCTCGGAACCACTTGGGACCTCCCGGAACCTCATCCCCCTTCCTCCTCCTCCTCCCCTCGCTTGGCGGTGGAGGTCTTCCGCCGCCGTCTGAGGCTGCCGAACCTCCTCCTGCTAAGGTTAAGTCGGGCCTGTCCCCCTGCAGGGGGATTTTCGACGAAAAATCCAAAAATAGTCAGGGGACTATTTTTTGAGTATTTTTTGACCTTTTGGGGGTATTTTGGGTGTATTTTTATTTTTTCGTCGAAAATCCCTCTGTAGGGGGACACGCCCGACATAATGCTAAGGGTGGTCTGGGGGTTCGGGGTCTGTGGGTGGGCGCCCGTTCCTTGGGTTGACGAGGGCCGCGCCGGGGGGCGAGAGGACGTCCTGGCCTGGTGTCTTGGCACAGCTGGCACACCAGATGGTGCTCCTCAATCATGGCGCCCCCTCCCTCTTGAGTCGTGTGTTGACCTCCCGCGCCCTCGACGGCGTGCGAGAAGCAGGCAGAACCACCAGCAGCAACGGTAGGACGAAAGAGAGAGACGAGGAGAGTGATGAGCAGGATGCGAAGGAGCAACAGCAGGGGTGACGATCGATGTCCACGTGCCAAGCAAAGATTACATATACGAAACCATTAAGATGAATCGAAATGTCGCGTTTCGTGGCACAATCGGCTGGATCCACATACCCAATGTTCAACTCCACACCGCAGTGTTGTTCCGAGCTCTGGAAATTGGCACCGAAAGGGCTTCACAACTATTGCAACCACTGAACCACCAGATGCCACGCACTCAAGCGCATGCGATGAGTAGGCCACATCTCCGAGCGCTCACCAGGAAACATCGGATCGGTATTCGGACGACGCCTTGGTGGCTCAAGTCAAACACACCACGCATATTTCTCTGACATTTCGGAGCCTGGAAACGGACACAGCGTTTGGGCAGACGAGGCTGGAGAAATCAACGCTCGCCCGCACGCCCGCAGACCTCCAACAGTGGCGGCGGCACGTCCACCTGGCGTACCAGTCGCACTGCGACAACACCTCGACACACCTCTACCCTCTGGGGCATCAGCAGGAAGAGCAGCAGCTTCAGGGCGAGCCACAGCTGTTCCTGGCCCAACGGCCCTCCAAGCCATTCATGGCAGACCCATCCCTATACGACGACCGCCCTGCGGGCGATAAGGAGTTTGGGGGGGATTGAGATCAAATGCCCACCCTGACTGACCTCCAGCCTGTCACCTTGATCTCATCTCTCTCTCTCTCTCTCGACCTCTCTCTCTCCCTCTCTATCAGAGTCTCCCTCCACCACAATGATGATCGCGACGACGATGAGATCCCACTATCTACCTATCCGTTTACCAACCTATCGGATGAATCTCACTGACGATCTCACGATCGATCTCACTATCGAAGTCAAAGCAACATGAGAAAGCAATATCAGATGGGACAATATGGGCTGGCTAAGATTGACTGGAACGGACAAGATTGATTGGATGAGATAAGCTGGATTGGAAAAGAAAAGCCCGCCGCAGGCGCCGACAAACATGGATTGATGGACTGGGTTGGTGGATTGGATTGGATGGGATAAGATGGATTGGATAGGATAAGATGGGTTGGATTGGAAGAAATGGATAGGATACTATCAGATTAATTGGATTGGGCTGCCGCAGGCGCCGACAAAAATGAATTGATGGATTGGGTTGGGTGGATTGGATTGGGTGGGTCAAGACAAGATGGGACAAGATGGGTTGGATAAGTTAAGGTGGATTGGATTGGACAAGATGGATAAGATAAGATAAGCTGGATTGGATAAGAATGCCCCCCCGCAGGCGCCGAAAAACATGAGTCATACAATTTGCGACATGCGTTAGCGCCGTGACGCCCGGGACACCTGGGACACCGGGGACACCGCCCGGCCCAACTGGGACACCTCCCGGCCACCGGCGGACCTGGATTAGATAAGAAAGCCCGCCGCAGGCGCCGAAAAACATGAATCATTAAATTAGCGACATGCGTTAGCGCCAGGACTCCCAGAACACCCGGGACACCCGGGACACCGCCCGGCCCATCTGGGACACTTCTTGGCCACCAGCGAGGAGGACGGGAAACGGACTTTCGCTCCTATTGACACCCGGGACACCCGGGACACCGCCTCCCAGCCCCTGGCGGACGGGAGCGGACTTTCGCTCCTACTTCGGCCTAGCTACAGGAGGATCGTGCGCAGCTTCGCCTCGCCCGCACGCACTACACGAACACGAAACCGAAACCGATTTCCCGGTGGGGGGTCTCCGTTTCACTGCCGATCTCACCCCCAAACATCCGATAACCCAGAAAATACCCCACATGAGGTCCAGAGGACCCTGGGGCCTCCAGGGCGGCGCGAAAAGCCTGGGGCACCCCGGACCATGGACCACCCAGGAGGAGGAAGAGGGGGAGGACGAGGAGATGGAGGAGGAGGAGGAGGAGGAGGGGGAGGAGGGGGAGGAGGAGGAGGAGGGGGAGGAGGAGAAGAGGAGGACGAGGAGGAGGAGGAGGAGGAGGAGGAGGAGGGGGAGGGAGGAGGAGGAGGACGAGGAGGAGGAGGATCGACCCCTTGAAAAAGGATGGAGGGCGTCGGGGGGCTGGGGGGCTGGCCCGCCTCTGCGTCCTCTGGCAGAAGAGCAGCACCGAACATGGAACACCCCTGATCCTCCGTGCCGCCCGTGGTCCGCCCTGCCTTTAGGGCATGTCCTCATACAGGCGAATGTTGGACGAAAAAAGAAGAATATTAGAAACAAATATTCAAACATCGTCAAACATATCAAAAAAAGAAGAAACAAAAAAACTAAGAAGAACAAACATGTCCCCTGACGATTTGTTTTACTATTTTTCGGTATTCCTCCTGTGGAGGGACGTGCCCGACTTGACCCTGCCTGCCCGGCCCCCTCACCCTCCATTTTGAGGAGCGGCGGCAGCGGGAGGGCACACGTCGGCCCTTCCACGGCCGGGTGGTGCCAGGGGCGCCCCTCTGGCCCCAAGCAGAGCCGCACTCGCGCGCGAAGCTCAGAGTCAAGCAATGGCGAAGCGTCCTGGCTCGCCTACAGGCCCACCAAAAAATGTTCTGAGAACCTCCTGTGGTTTCCACGAAGTGTTCTTGGAACATTTCTGGCTGGGATTGTCTTGTTCTAACACATCGGGCTCAAGTTCTGAGAACCTTGTTTTGTTATTTGAACATGTTGGGTTCTAAGAGCATGTCGTGGCAGGCTTATATGAAGGGGCCCTGTGACACACATGTAGATAGAGACAAATAACAGGAATCCCCATATGTTCCTACATTTTCTATGTGTTTGTCTTCCCCCCACCTTCCCATATTCTCCCATATTTTCTTGGGGATCGACGATTACTTTTGTCTGTGCGTCTGATTATAGGAGCGCTGGGACAGTCGGTCCCTGCTCCGCAGAGAGGGCCCCGGGGGCTCCGAGATGGCGCGACCCGGGGCGCGCGCAGGCGGCCTCGGGCACCGAACAAACCGGTGCGAGATCAGGCGAGGTGCGTGCAGTGCACATGCCATCGGCGGAGGGACCGACCGTCCGGGCATTCCGATAAGCCTGCCACGACATGTTCGCAGAACCCAAACATGTTCAAAACACAAAACAAGGTTCTCAGAACATGAGCCCGATGTGTTAAAACAAGACAGTCCCAGCCAGTAATGGTCCAAGAACACTTCGTGGGAACCATATAAAAAACGTTCTTAGAACATTCTTCGGTGGGCCTGTAGGCGAGCCAGGACGCTTCGCCACTGCGTCCACGCTGTGCAGACCGTTGAAGTGAGCGCCCCCAGTGGTCGAAACTCTACGAACCGACGCCCGCCGTGATGTTGGCAGCACGAGCAAGGCCCCGACTGATTCGATGCCGAGTCTGGCTGGCCCGATCCGATCCGATTCTACGCTTCGTTCTATCCGAATCGGCCCGACGTTTGCATGGCACCACTGTTCCGCTGTGATTGCGAGGCCGTGCCGATGCCGCGGGAGCCGACGCACAGGCCGGTTCTGTGCAGTTGTTGTTGCCGGAGCGATGGTCTGGTTGGCCCCGACACGGGTGAGGAGGTTTGGCTGAGCATGGTGGCCGCCGGGGGGGGCACGGGCAACGATATACAGCGTTGCCAAATGATTTCCAGATGTCTGAACAATGTTGAACACATGTCTCAAACATGTAAAACACATGTTTACACATTTTTAGAACATAATTTGTCAGGCATGTCAAACAAATCTTTAATTCAATGATCGAATTGTTAGGGGGCCCATTGTCATGGCATCCACAAATACAGTGGAGACCCATGCCAAGAAGCACCCTTCTCGCCTCCAGGGGGGGCACTGGGTTTCTCGGGTTTCGATGGCTCTGCGATCGAAAGCGCGACCGTTCCCACACCAAACGTTAACGATACACAGTGGAGACCCATGCCAAGGAACAGCCTGCTCGCCTCCAGAGCGTGCCCTGGGTTCCTTGGGTTTCGATGGCTCTGCTATGGACAGCGCGACGTGCCCACACCAACAAAAATCAAAGGGCGCCCTGGGGTTCCAGGGTTGGGTTTCGCGTGGAAGGTCTCTTGTGGTCGGGCTCCAACTGCATACCGCGGGGAATCGACGCAGGGGGAACACGCATCGACGCCCCATCGCCCACTGATCGCGGTGAGGAGCCTGATGATAGCCCACCCCGCCCAGGAACGCACGTGCGGCATCGCCCTCGGGTGCCGATCGGCGATGCATTGCCGATTCCAAGCCGATGCCACCCCCCTCCTGTGCCGGTCCCCCCTATCCCAGACATATAACGTCGACCCCCAGAGGTTTGCACCTATTCCCAGGGAACGGCTTCTCATCCTGAGTCCTATTTTGACGCCTGTTTTTTTTTATTTTTTTTTTTTACCGCTCTTTTTTTTTTCTTTTTTTTTTAGTTTTGTGTTAGATCTTTTTTTTTGTTTTCCCTTTTGTTTTTTTGTTTTGTTTTTTAGTTTGTTTTTTTTTCTTTTCTTTTTTCTTACTTTTATTTGTTCTTGTATTTTCTATTTTTTGTTTTATTTTTTTTTTTTTTTTTTGTTTTTTTCCTCTTTTTATTTTGTTTTTTTCTTTTTTTGTGCCCGTGGGCCCAAGGCAAAACGCCCCCGAGGCCTGGCCAAAAGGCCCAGAGGGTCTAACACCGTGAAAAGCTTCGTCGTTGTTTGTTCATGAGCCGAGGAGAGGGGGAGGCGGAGGAGGAGGAGGAGGAGGAGGAGGAGGAGGAGGAGGAGGAGGAGGAGGAGGAGGAGGAGGAGGAGGAGGAGGAGGAATAGGAGGAGGAGGGGAGGAGGAGAGTAAGGAGGAGAGGCGGAGGAGGAGGAAGAGGAGGAGGGGGAGGAGGAGGAGGAGGAGGAGGAGGAGGAGGAGGGCGAGGAGGGAGGAGGAGGAGAGGAGGAGAGAAGGAAGGAGGAGGATGAGAGAGGAGGAGGAGGAGGAGGAGAGGAGGAGGAGGAGGAGGAGGATTTGTGTTGACATCCACGGCCGAAGGCCCCGATGAGATGGGGCAAGCGGTGGACAGGTCGAGCCGTAATTCCAGACCTCGTCGGATGAAGTCCTTTGCCTGGCTGTCTCCCATTCTCGCTCTTGCGTGGATCAGCGAGGAGGAGGAGGAGGAGGAGGAGGAGGAGGAGGAGGGCGAGGAGGAGGAGGAGGAGGAGGAGGAGGAGGAGGAGGAGGAGAAGGAGGAGGAGGAGGAGGAGAGGAGGAGGAGGAGGAGGAGGAGGAGGAGGAGGAGGAGGAGGAGGAGGAGAAGTCGCTCTTGCGTGGATCAGCGAGGGGAGCGTATGGCTTCGCCAGCTTATCGAGTCGGGCACTGGAGGTGAAATCACCGCACCGCTGGCAAATACACACAAACGGACCGCCGCTGCAGTCGATTGCCGCGCAACAGCGTCGCTGCTGTCGTAAAACTTGAGGCTGGACAAGGAAGATGGTTGCCACACCTACCCTCCAGAGGTCCACACACCGCCCTCAAGCAGTTGGGACATTGCCAATTACTGCGGGGAGGCCGCCCGACCAAGATCAGTCTCAGGCGAAACGCCCGGTCCGCCCTTCCGACTAGCCTCGGGTTGCGGCAGGGAGGAGTTATTCATGAAGGAATGGAGTGGGATGAGGAGGGTGAGGAGGGTGAGGAGGAGGAGGAGGAGGAGGACTCTCATGGGCTGCGTCCTGGGGCCTTCCGTGGAAAAGGCCCAAACGGATGAACCCCCTGCTCGCCGACCGTGACCAGCCCAGAAGAGAGGAGTGTGGCGACGGTGGGCCTTGCGCACAAATCCAACATGTAGCTGATAAGATGAGGAGGAGGAGAACGAGGACTGGAGGAATGGAGGAATGGCGGACTGGAGGAATGGAGGGATGGAGGGAGGAGGAGGGGAGGAGGCGGAGCAGGAGAAGCAGGGGGTTCGATTCCTCCCCCCCTGCGCCAGTCTCCCCCAGCCGTTGCCTCTCACTCCTCCTCCTCCTCCTCTTCGTCCTGTTTCTCCTCCTCCTCCTCTTCCTCCTCCTTCTCCTCCTCCTCCTCAGGCAGGCCGGCCCCCGCGCCGCGCGCGGCGGCCTGGCCATGGCGGCGGCCGCCGCTGGCGCCGCGAGCGGCGGCCAGTGCGCAGCCCCGGGGACCGGCGCGCGCGAGGGCGGCGGGGCAGCGCCGGCGCACTGGCGCCGCACGGCCGAGCGGCACGAGGCCTGCGGGCGGCTTCGACACCTCCGCCTCCTCCTCCGCCGCCTCTCCCTCCTCCTCCTCCTCCTCCTCCTGCTGCCTCCTCCTCCTCCTCCCTCCTCCTCATCCTCCTCTGCCACTCCCATCCTTCCTCCTCCTCCTCTCCTCCTCCTCCTCCTATTCCTCCTCCTCTCCTCCTCCTCCTCCTCCCTTCCTCTTCCCTCCTCATCCTCTCCTCCTCTTTCCTTCTCATCCTTCCCGGCGCCTCCGCCATCTGCTCCCTCCGCCTCGTCCTCCGCCGCCTCTCCTCCTCTCGTCCTCCGCCACCTCCTCCTCCACCACCTCCTCCTCCTCCTCCTCCTCTTCCTGCTTCTCCTCTTCCTGCTCCTCCGCCGCCTCCTTCTCCGCCTCCTCCGCCGCCTCTCCTTCTTCCTCCTCCTCCTCCTCCTCCTCCTCCTCATCCTCGGGAGCGCCCGTCCCAGACATGTCGAGCAGTGGCGAAGCGTCTCGGCTTGCCTAGAGACCCACCGGAGAATGTTTTAAGAGCTTCTTGTGGATTGCACGAAGTGTCATGAGGACATCTCCTGTTGTAACACACTAGGTCCATGTTCTAAGAGCGTTGTGTTCGTTCTTAGAATATCTGGGGGTTCTAAACACAGTTGGTGTAGACCTATAGGAACGCCGGGACGGTCGGTCCCTGCTCAAACATGATCGCGTCGTTAAAAGAATCAGGACGAAAGGTTGTTGGCCATTTTCAGCCTTCTGGGGCCCTCGCCGGGCCTCGGGACCTGCAAGGATGAAACACCGCACCGGTCCTGCAGAACGGGCCGGAACTTCCAGGGACCCCGTAGTGATTCTTAAAAAATCAGGGCGTCGCATGTCTGGGGTCGAGCCATGACATTCTCACGACGGTAGGTTTGTCGTTATTTTCGGCCTCGGGGGGCCCTTCGTGGGCTTCGGGGCCGTTAGAAAACTGCTCAGGGTGAAGACCCCGTCCCGGGGGAAGGGCCGAGAGGCTTGGAGGGCCGACGGTCTTCAAGAAATCGTGGCGTCGAGGGTCTGGGATTCAGTCGGGCGTGTCTCTCTACAGGAGGACTGTTCAAACATAGTCAAATCGTCTGGGGACGATTTTGTGAGCATGGTTGGACTGTTTTTGGGCATGTGTTTGCTATTGTTCGCCCGCTCCGGCCGCCTGAGGCCCCGCCCTCCTGTGCCCCGTCTCCCGAATTCAAGCTGTGCGTAGCCCGCCTAGCTTTTAGCGGAAGAGGTTCGCTCTCGCCCCGCCGACCACAAAAGTGTTTGCCAGTGTCCTTGTTCGTCCAGGATGTCCGCCTGCAGGGGGACATGCCCGACCTCAGTCTGGGAGGCGAGGGCCCCAGGATCCGGGCGCGGCACTGCTTGCACAGCGGGCGCCTTCGCCCGGTTGCGGGCCCATGGTGGCCTCACGGGGCGCTCCGGGTCGAGGCATGGCGCCGAGAGCTGGGTCTGAAGTCCCGGTCGTGACTCTTGAAGAGGTTCCATTTGTCCGACGCGTCGGATCTCGGGGTCGCGGGGAGGAGCACGAGACCCCCTCGAGTCAGGAAGCAACAGTGACGGAAGGTTTTTCTGTATTGTCGGCCTTTGGGGTCCCCGACTGGGCCTCGGGACCAGGACAGGCAACAAAAAATGAGTCGGGATCAAATCCCGGTTTGGGGGAATGAGTCCAGACCTCTGGGGGTCGACGTGATGAATTTTTCCATGCGAAAGACCAACCATATGCAGTTGTGAGGAGCTCCGTCTGGTGCCACGGAATGTGTGAGGGATGTGCCGAAATGGGTGGGCTGGCGGCCTGCGGACACCGCCACTGGGGCCTTCGCTGGAGCTCCATATATGGGGCCGCCAAGCATGTCAGGGGTGCCGCGAAAGTTGTAGGGCGGCCGCATGTGGACACCGCCGCTGGGGCCTTCCGTGGAGCTCCTTATGGGGCAACGATGCGTGTGAGGGGTTGGCTGACCTGGGTGGGGGTTTGGGCGAGACGCACGTGGACATCGCCACCAGGACCTCCGGAGCTCCCTATGGGGTGCGAAGCGTGTGAGGGGCGCGCCGACATGGTTGGAGCGGCTGCATGTGGACAGGGCCACTGGGGCCTTCGGTGGAGTTCTTCTATGGGGTCCCGAAACGTGCGAGGTTGTGCCGAACTAAGTGGGGTGGCCGAGTGTGGGCCTTCCCACTGGGGCCTTCGGTGGAGGGCCCGACGGGGCCAGGAAGCCTGTGGGGGGGCGTGCAGAAGTGGAGGGGGCCGCCGCGTGTGGACCCTCCCACTGGGGCCTTCGGTGGAGCTTCCTTTGGGGGCACGAACTGGGTGAGGGTTGTGCCGACCTTGAGGGGGCAGACGCATGTGGACCCTCCCGCTGGGGCTTTCGGTGGAGCTCCCTGTGGGGCACGAAGCGCGTGAGGGGTGTGCCGCAAGGGTGCGGGACGCCGCATGCGGACCCTCCCACAGGGGGGCCTTCGGTGGAGTTCCCTATGAGGCCAGGCAGCGTGT